TGCCAGCGGAGGAGCTCAGCCTGTCTATGGATTGATGCATCTCTCCAAGCTGATCTTTGATGTCTTGGGATTCCTCTCGAACTGCTTTCTCTAGGCTTTGGACGTCTTGACTTGTGGTTTTCAGTTCTCCTCCAAGCTGATCTTTAATTTCTTGGGATTCCTCACGAACTGCTTTCTCTAGGCTTTGAACTTCTTGAGTTGTACTTTTTATTTCCCTTTCAAGCTGATCTTTGATATCTTGGGATTCCTCTCGAACTGCCGTTTCTAAACACTGTACTTTCTCTCCTATTACTTGACTAATCTCTTCTATCCCTCCATCAACACCTTTCAAACTAGTCTCCAAACGTTCCATGCCATCTTGCATTTCTTTCATTGAAGTTTTCAGTTCTTCTATGGATTCCTTTACTTCCATGTCGTTTCTATACCACTCCAACAGTTCCTGTACATTTCGTTCATCCTCTGCTGTGAGGGGATTCCTCAAAAAGTTAAAAATGGCCACTTGCCATTGAGGCTTCTTTGTGGGGCTGATCTGACCTGCAATCCTTACAAGAACCTCGCTGATGTCTTGCCACAGCACTGGAAACTGGTCATCTGCAATTTCCATGTTTTGGTTCACGTGACCAAACACGGAGTTTCGGTAATGTCGAATTCTTGCCAAATCTGCAGCTAAACTCTGGTCTGTACTTGTTGGCAGGGCATCCCAGCCTGTGGCAGGAGGGACGAGGTTGCATATTGTCCTCAGCAACCTGAACAGCAGGGTTACATCAAAATCTGCTGACTTGCCGTACACCCCTGGGGAAGGGTACAGACAGTCCCACTGTGGCTTAGTAAGCTTTGCTGCTTTGAGTTGTTTCTCTGTGGTTGGATGTTTCAGTATTGTGGGAAAATTGCTTGGTGGGCAACATTGATCAAAAATCTCTCTCAGTAGTGTAGTGCCTCCACTTATCAACAGTCGTGAAATACGTTGAAAATTTTCTTTTCCTCTTGTTGAACGGAGCACTTCATCTGGGTCTGGGGCGGTAGCCATTTTGTGCTTCAGTCTAAAGTGAAAATATGAAGTTACTCGAACTCGGTACGTTGGAATAGATTGATATCACTTAGGAATTGATTTAGGTTATATATTATATAAACACGAGTGTTTCACTGGAAAATACACCACTCGTAAAATTCATACGAAGCCACATCTGGGACTCGGGTGGTGTATTTTCCATATCCTCACTAGTGAAGATATTGATGACTTCACTGATACAGTGGAACCTCAATATAACGAAAGACCAAGGGACTGGCAAAATATGTTCGCTATAACGAGGTTTTTCTATATATCGAGGTTCTTTTCGATACATTTTACTGTTACTAGGGCGAAGAATATTGTTCGTTATAACGAGGACTTCGTTATATAGAGGTTCGTTAAATCGAGGTTCCACTGCACAATGCTTGACCATTTTAAGGGTCAAACATCAAAAAACGGTTCTTATATTTAGTTTGTACATGATTGAAACATCTTCGGATCTTCCTTGAAAGTCTTCGGCAATCTTCGGTTTTCTTCGAAATCTTTGGAAATTTTTGGAAAGTAATTATTCAGTATGTATCGTTCGTGTGACCTTCTGACAATTTTTGGAAGTGCAGCTGGAAATCTTCGGAAGATCGTCAAAAACGTTATCAGCAGGGGCGTAGCTAGCGGGGGGGGGGAGTCCTGGGATGCCCGTGACCCCCCCTTTTGTAAGCCTTTTTTAAGCAAACAACCTCCGACAGGTAGCAAAAACGACAAGACAATCAGGTTAGTACCCTCAATTTGACAGTGTGACCCCCCCTTTGAGAAATTCTGGCTACGCCCCTGGTTATCAGTATGTTTATATAATAAACAAAATAATACATGAGCGCTTGTCGATATGGAATATCTCGTCTCATGTTCAACTTTACATCTCACTCCTTCCTTGCGCTCACTTGTGAGGTAAACCATATCGAGTTGAACACTCAGAGATATTCCATATCTACAAGCGCCCATGTATTATCCTCTATTTACATTCCAGTTAGTAAATTTCTACTGCGGTGCTCATTATCAGAGGTCTGCAAAATATAGAAATGGTGCAAGGTGTAGCCCTGGGTAGGGGGACTCCCATATCAAAGGGACGGGGTGTTCTTCGGAAATTTTGAAAAGAATCCC